TAGGAGTGGATTACTGATTTATATAGGCATTATGTCTTAACTTAGAACAACAACAAAAAACCTGTTGCCCTGGCCAGTGTGGCTCAGTTGGTTGAGCATCATCCTGTGTACTGAAAGGTTGCCAGTTCAATTCCTAGTCAGGGCACATACCTAGGTTGCCAGCTGGATCCCCAGTGAGGGCATGCGGGAGGCAGCCAATCAATGTTCCTCTCTTCCTCTTCCTCTCTCTGTAAAAGCAGTAAAAAAGTTTTTTTAAAAAAATGATACTCCAGTTCACATCCTCATCAACATTTGGTATGGTTACTTTTTTATTTTGAGCGATTCTAATTTTAATTTGTTTTCTCTGACAATGATGTTTGGCCCTTTTCATATGTTTATTGGCCATTCTTATAACTTCTTTGGTGAAATGTTTGTGTATTCAAGACTTTTGCCCCTTTAAAAAAAATCTTGATTGTTGAAAGTATTACATATGTTCCCTTTTCCCCCACATTGACCCCTGCTACCCTCCCCCAGACCTTCACCACCCTATTGTCTGTCCATGGGTTATGCATATATGCATACAACTTCTTTGATCACTTCCCATCCACCTACCCTCCCCTGCCTTCCCTCTGCGGTTCTGCAGTCTGTTCTATGTGCTATGTCTCGATTTATGTTGTTCATCAGTTTATTTTGTTCATTAGATTCCACATGAGTGAGATCATGTGATACTTTTTCTCTCTCTGACTGGCTTATTTTGCTTAGTATAATACTCTCCATATCCTTCCATGCTGTCTCAAAGGGTATGAGGGCCTTCTTTTTATTTTTTACTGCTGCATAGTATTCCATGGTATAAATGTACCACAGCGTTTTTATCCACTCATCTACTCTTTTGCCTATTTTTAAATTGAGTTGTCTTCTTAGTAAGTTCTGATTCCCTAGCTCAGTGGTCAGTACTCCTAAGGCTTAGGAAGAGCCACACTCAAGGGGCCAAAGAGCCGCATGTGGCTCGTGAGCTGCAGTTTGCCGACCACAGCCCCAGCTGGTTTGGTTCAGTGAGTAAAGTGTCGACCTACGGACTCAGCCGTACCGGGTTCAATTCTGGTCAAAGGCACATGCCCAGTTGTGGGCCCGATCCCCAATGGAGGGCGTGCAGGGGACAGCTAATCAATAATTCTCTCTCGTCATTGATGTTTCTATCTCTCCTTTTCCTTCCTCTCTCAAATCAATAAAAATATTTTTTAAAAAAAAAATAAGTTCTCAAATTTTATACATTATGGATACAAGACTATATATTTTGAATTATCAGATATGACATTTGTAGATATTCTTCTCACTCTATGACTTGTCTCCTCATTTCTAAAAATACATTTTTGTTGATTTCAGAGAGGAAGGGAGAGAGAAACAGAAACATCAGTGATGAAAGAGAATCATTGATCAGCTGCCTTCCGCACACCCCACAATGGGGATCAAGCCCACAACCCAGGCATGTGCCCTGATTGGGGGATCAAACCGTGACCTCTGAGTTCATAGGTCAACACTCAACCACTGAACCATGCTGGCTGGGCATGTCTCCTCCTTTTTTAAATGCTGTCTTTTTTAAAAAATATTTTTTTATTGATTTTAGGGAGGAAGGGAGAGGGAGAGAGAGAGAGAAACATCAATGATGAGAAACATTGATCGGCTGCCTCCTGCACACCCCCTTCTGGGGATCGAGTTTGCAACCCAGGCCTGTGCCCTTGACCAGAATTGAACCTGGGACCCTTCAGTCCGCAGGCT